ACTGCCACTCAGCTGCTGGGTTCCACCACCTGCGTCTCGTTAGCGTTCTGTGGGAAAATGTGGCAAAGACTATTACTTACGGGTCAACAATGAACACCCTGGATGCTTCAGTAAGGTTGAGAGCGACGCCACCAGCCTTGAGGGAGACGAGGAAGACCTCAACATCCGGGTTGGTCATGAAGTGATCGATGCTCTTCTGGCGCTGTGCAGGAGTCATGCTGCCATCTAACATGACGGTATTGAAACCGGCACGACGCAGACGCCACTCAATGAGCTGCAACATCGACGTGAACTGACTGAAGACGATGGACTTGAGTGTCTGCTTCTTGCTCCGAAGCTTGTAGAGATCGTATACCAACATCTCAATCTTGGTGGAAGAAGTCCAATTCTCCATCTTGATGCGGTTGATGATCGACGTCTTCTTGACTGAGTCCTCGTCTTGCTCAAGCTCTGGCTGTTCGAAGTCGATGGACAGGGCGATGTGGCAGCGAGGACAGTCTGCGTCCGTGCCAGAGGCTTCGCATGTATCCATGAAGTCCTTGATGCAAGCGCGACAGAACTCGTGACGGCAGTGAGAACGTACCGCGTCCTCGGCGGGTTCGTCGCAGATATTGCACACGTAGACGTTACCAGCACCTTCGGCCGCATTCTTCTTTAGCAAAAGATCGGGATGGTTGGCGACCTGTCGCATCTGCATGATAAGACCGAAGATGTTGGCGTAGTTGTTGAGCATGACACCCTGCGCAACGTAAGTATCGAACTTGCGAGCGGAGTTCGACATGATCGACGTTGAGAAGTCGCGCTCCACCTCACTGAAGAACTCTTGGTGGATGATGATGTCTTTCATCGGCAACTCCATGGAGTTCGTATGATCGCGCTTCATACGTCGTAGCATGATGCGAGCAGTGATCAAATGAAGCTTTGTCAGGGCCTCCTCGCGGAGCTTATGGTCATCGCCAGTGATTGGGTTGAGCAGCTCTTGGTTGAACACCGAGATGTGCTCAGAGGCACCGTGGTTGCAGGCAACACACATGTGGTCGTCGTCGGTGGCCCAATGCAGCTTCTCGCACTTGCAGGAACGGCAGAAATAGTCCGCGAATGGACGAACTTCCAAGAAACGAAGAAGTGAGAAGAACTCTCCGATGCGGTTCTGAACTGGCGTGCCGGACAGGCACCACTTGTAGTCACCAGTAAGCGCAAAGCAAGCCTTAGCTACACCGGTGTTGCGAGACTTGATACTGTGCGCTTCGTCCAGGATAAGGCGGTGATAGTGTATGGCGTGGAGTGGTGATGCCTCCTTGATGATGTCCTCACCGCGAGACCATCCTTTGGTTTCCTTGCGATGCAGCGATTCCAGAGAGTTGTACGAAACCATGATTACGTCGTAGGACTTGAGCTCCTTGATCGACATCTTCTTGCACTTGGCGTTCGTGCCGTGGTATACCAGAACCTTGAGCTTGTTGTTTGTGTACTCGCGGATCTCGTTGGACCATTGCATCAGAGCAACTGGCGGGACACATACGAGCGTCGGCTGCTTTGCAGGGTAATCGGACATGATCAGGGAGACAGCCTGGATAGTCTTGCCCATACCCATCTCATCTCCGAGCAGCCCACCCTTGTAGTGAGTCTTCTCCTGCCGAATCATCCAGCTAAGACCCTCGAGTTGAAATGGCTTCAATCGTCGGGTAATAGACTCTGGTTGCTCTGCCTGCTGAACCTCCAGGACGGGGATGTCCTCCAGAGTCTTCCACATAGTCTTCAGCTTTGGATGCTGTTGCTCTGCTCGTTCACGGTTCATGGCCCGCTTCCGCTCCCACTTGTCCGCGATGTGCGCATACCTCGCCCGACGATCAGTCGCTTCGTCTTTGTCGCCGCGGGTGAGCTTCTTCTTCCGGCCTCCAGATGCTTTCGGTTGGCGCGCCGCAGCAATCTTCTTCAGACGGTCACTTGTCGTCATCAAAGGTTCTTCATCGCTGTCGCTAGCCATTGGTGTCTCGACATCGTTAAGCAAAGACTCGGCGTCATCCACATCATCAGGACGAAACTCGCCCCCGTCAGACTCCTCGTCATCGAGAAAGTCCTCTTCCTTGAACGTTGCCTTCTTCGCACTAGAGCGTGCAGGACGACCACGCTTTGCTGAAGACTGAGCCTTGGCCTTGCCTTTGCCCTTGCCTTTGTAAGATGGTGCTGACGACAGAACAGCTGTCATTGAATCTGCGTCGTCATCGCTGAAAATCTCTTCGGCCTTGGCTTTGCCCTTGCCCTTGCCAATGTATGAGGGTGCTTTCTTGCGACGCGAAGGCGCGACGGGCTCATCCTCGGATAGCATATCCTCATCCTCCTCGTCCTCCTCGTCCTTGATCTTCTGGCGCTTGCTGTGTGGCGCATCCATTTCGTCCTCCAACTGCATTTGTAAAGCGATCTCAGCGTCCATGTCGAGCGCCCAGTTATCTGATTCAGAGCCAGAGTCTAATACGACGGTGCGAGATCGTTTGGATGAGGTGCTCTGCGAAGGCGTCGTAGCGTTGTTCAGCCGACTACGGGCGGGCTTCTTGCCACGACTGACTGACGCAGCTGGCGTGGTCGAGATGCTGGTTCCTTGTGTTTCGTAGTCCGAGTTCTCCAGGGAAGGTGAGGCGGTTGAACTCTCTTGTCCTGCTTGTTGCGCGTTGAGCCCTGCTAGCCGTCCGCGAGTGGCGGGCGCCTTCTTGGACTTCATGGCGGGAACTCTAACTTCTTTCAACACGCGGCGGGCGCTGGCGGATGATTGGGGCACCTCGGGCTCGATGGTTTCGCTCTCGTGGTCGGAAGAGTCGGGGATGAAAGATCGAGAGGTACGAGGGCGCTTCTGTTTGTGGCGACTATCAGCCACGGAGGAGTCTTCCAGGGCTGTAATCGCGTTAGCGCAAGAGTAATGCACGATATTCACTTGCTAAGCAAAAGTGAGAGCCAAAGTCAGCCTGTACATACCAGTTGTCGGCGCTGGGGAAGGTGCGGTGGCGACGTCATTCGCGACACCAGTCGACTTGCGGGTTGATCGCCGGGGCGCCATTATGATGAATTGGTGAAAGGAAAAGCAAGTGAAAATACGACAGAGATCGAGGAGCGCGCAGCGAACACTGATGAACGGATTGAAAGAGAGACTGTAACTCGACGGAGGGGTGAGATGATTAGAAGCACTAATTGTCGAAGGGTAGATACCCCTGGCCCTTTTGCGCCGATAGCCCGTCGCGCGTTCACGCCTCAGGTGGCAAATTCAGGGACAAGGTCGCAGAAAAGCAAGGATTGCAGGGCTTCGTGGAGACAAGTGCGCAAACGGCGTCTGCTGTACAACACTGTCTCGGAAATGTACAACAATCACTGCAAGCTTGTCATGCAGGTGCGATGTGGGTGGGGAAGACGCGTCGCGTGCTGAAGACGGTAGCACGTGATTGATTCCAGGCTGCCATCTCATCCGTTTACGGACTAGCGCTGAATGTCCCGCTGCAAGTCCGAAGACGCACTGGTAAAGCAAGAAGATCTGCTATACTTTCAATGAAGGGTTTCGACTAATCAATAACGCCATGTTCACTTCAGAAGATCTCTCCACGCATGCCCGGATCGCGCGCGAGCCATCTGGTGTCGCCAAAGAACATGACCCCGACGCTACACCTATCGCAACGTTCCTTCGTTTCATGGATCTTCCCAAAGACATCCGGTTCCTGATCTATGAACACCTACTCAATCGGCGCATCAAGCCTTTATCTTTCCCGGAAATGGGGATTGCCTATGAGGTGGTCACAATAGATCCGGCAGTCGCCCAAGCGTCACGCCAGCTTAGGGACGAAGCACGAGTGGCGACGCGCCAACAGCGTCTTGGTGGACCGCTTGTAATCTACGTTATCAAATCATTCAACCATGTGGGAGATATTTCTCGCACACTATCCATGGCTTACGACTCTGATCAACAACATATATTACAAGAGCGCATTAATGCAGCTGCATTCGAGCACGCAGATGTGTCCGACTCGGTTTTAAAAAGCCCCATCAGATTGCTCCATCAATTCTTTTTCTACTCTCGTACAAGAAAATACTTCTTCGGTCGTGAGCGGAAACGGGGGATGTTACTCACTCGGAGTTACTTCGAATTCGCTGTGAGGAAGCTACGGCACAATGCTCACGTAGAATACCGGTTCTTGATAGGGGCAAACAACCTTGCACTTATGAGTTCTGGTAGCGATCGAGCAGAGCCCATGAACAAGGCTGTATCCAGGCAAGGAAACACACGATGCAATTTTGTCCTAGTCCCCGACAGTCACGCTACGCAAGATTCTCTCATACAAATAGAACTGTCTCCGGCTGGCGATTGTGTGCCCACGGAATTGGCCACACCTTTAGAACTCGCCTATATGCGGACCATGATATCCCAACTCGGAAGAGGCCGACCAGAACAATCAGGGCTGCGGTAATGATTCAAGGTTGCGATTATGTACTACCATCCATCGTCAGTGGGAACAATGGTGTTCGGGATCAATTACAGGACACACGGACCAAACCCCAGATCCGCGTTGCTAATTGGCGAGTGGCAACAGAGCAGAACCTCGACGCATGGCGGGAAACTCATAAGGTTGCTTGTATCTGATCACTAGGATGGCAGCCAAACAGGGCGCTGAAGAACAGGAACTGCTATCATGGCTGCACGCCGAGACCGTTCGCAGAATTTATGGGATATTCACATAGTGGGGACGGAGAAGAGTTGTTCATCAAGCCCAGCGTTGGATGTGACCAGTATCAAAAGATTGGTTAACACTATGAATCCACAACTCAGCATTCTATGCGATCGCTACAAAGGCATTCAGAGTTCCCAGGTTTCACAGTTTTCAGACTGGAGACCTAGCGCGTGCGAATGCAGCTATACCTCCTCTTACTCAGACTTGCATCAGGTCATAAAGCCAAGATCCAGCCGTGGTCAAAACGGGACAAGATAACCCATATCATCACGAAGACTATGTCCAAAGCTCTCAGTAGTAGTTGTGGTAGGTGTGGCAGTCGTGGTTGTCGTGGTTGTCGTGGTAGTCATCGTAGTTGTAGAAACGACCGGTTCGCCAAACGTCGAGTTCCTGCTCTGTCATGGCCTCCGATTGCAGCTTAATGTTCTTCGCATCAATAGCACTCTCTCCATATATTATCCCTATCTCAGCCCGTGACGGAATAGCATCGGGTGGCGGTGTAGCCGTAAAGATCACAGTCACCTCAAATGAACGAACGTCTTCCGGGTGAGTATTGGCTCTTCCCGTGAGTAAGTAGCGCAAATCCCTGTCGCCTTTTACTTTCCCGTTTGGGAACAGAACTCTTAACTGAAAGTGTGTCTCTTTGCGCATTCTTAGCACACAGAGACGATAGACTTTCTGGAGCGTTGTATCGTCGAATTCAGTAAGTGGGGACGTCTTACTTTCGCAACGCGTTTGATCGATACTCTGAACACGCATCCTCAGTTGACGGGTCGGTATCATCTGCGTAAACTTGGAGAGTTCGACAGGCATGCCGGCGTCGCCATGGTTCTCTTTGGACAGCGTATCCAAGTGATGACCCGAGGTGAGAGCTTCTAGAAAGCGCAGTGCAAACGTGCCATGTCCCTCCACGGCGACAAGCGTGATAGGTTGCCCTGGGAAGCCGTTGCGGAAGTAGGCTCTGATCTCGTCGCACAGAAGGCGGTTGACTAATAATAGTGCTGTGGAAGGCCTCAATTTGGTATACCAGAGGCAACGGTGGTCTCCAAAAATCGATACCAAGTGACTCTCGGGCTGCAAGTAATCGTATACTAATAACCGGATATCTTTGGGAAGATCGAGGAAGCGAAAGGTATCAACGCTACTATCCATCTTGAGCTCTCAGGACAATAGATGAGGAGCTTATGTATGCGGGCGTGGATGGAGTCCAAGAGCTGATGGGCGTCGTTGAGTGTGGTGAAGCCAGGTTTCTAGTCCGTTGCCGTCTTCCGTTATCGCGATGATGGTACAATAAGTTATGTTGTCCAGCCTAGTGAGACATGATATCTGTATTCAGCTTCGAAGGTAGCGCGAACTGTGATGGCGAGCCGTTCTATGAGGGTTTTGCGGCGTCGATGGGGAATGGAATGAATGTCGATGTTCGGGAAGTTCCCGGTTCACCTGCATCAGATGCGGTGCACGGACCCACGCGCATCGGCAGGCGTCGCAAGACATGACGATTCCAGGCTCAGGCACCTCATCCAGCGCCGCACCATCGACGTCGACCACCTCCCAGCCCCATCTCCACCTACGACATCATCTACATCACCGGTACAGGTAGCGAACCACTCGACGATACCACGATCGAAGCGCCGCCACCGCCGCCGATAAGCTACCCGCCGCCGCGCGATACCGAAGCTCCAAGTCGCCCATCATGGTGAAGCCCGTTGTTTCCGCGATGAATGCATGGACGTGGTATGCGCCAAACAATCTAGGGAAGAAGGAATAGCAAGGAAGCTAACGGAGTGCTAGCATCGTCGTGTCGCTCTTTGCCATCGTCATTCTCTCCACGATCGGAGCTCTGTTCAAAGTACGTCTGCCTCGTGCCCATGGTCCCGACAAGGACGAACACCTTCGAATCCACAGTCGCCACTGGTTATGAGAACTGTAAAGCAGAACTGATGCTAATGCGCAACTCGCAGGGACACAGCGGTACCGTAATGGGAGGACATGAAGACCCCGAGGATGGTGGCGCAGTTGCCGGCGCGGTATTCGGTGCCGTCTTCATATACATTGTACGTTGGAATCAAAAGAGAGTATCGCACTTAGCTAACGTCTTTCCAGGGCTTCTTTGTCTTCTGCGGTCTGCAGGCCTTCCTCCACATGCGCGAAAGCCGTCGCGGCGCGATAAGCCTGTCATAATCTTGAACAGGGTGCGAAACACGGTTGAGCGGCAAGATAAGACGAGAAGTCATCTAGAGAATCTTTGGATGCGACGATGGCATCGGGACAGGCATGCGTCATTGCGCCTGTGGAGGAAAGGCAGAGGCACTTGTACATTGTAATATGAGACACGGCGTTCAGCGGGCACAGGCGGGTTCATACATTTCCGTAGCAAGACATTGGATTAGCTTAATATGTGCTATCTGTACATGTGCATAAGCCCTGCATATCTGTCAATCGAAGCACCAGGGCCGACACATGCACCAACGCCAAAACGCGCTAGCTACGACTTTCCATCTACCAGTCCCTCTCCCACAGCGGCTCGAGCGTCTTGCTCATATATGGGCCGTCAAGCCAGTAACCCAGTTTGCCGTAGTAACTCCGCACACCAACACCCGAGATAACACTGATCTTACTGCTTCCATGCTCTTCCCTGGCTATTCGCTCTGCCTCCTCCATCAAAAGTGTACCATAACCTTGATGCTGGAACCTCTTCGGATCTCTAGCATGTATAGGGACAGCAGACCCATAGACGTGCAGTTCGCGTACCAGCGAAGAGGGCTGGCCCGTTAACTCTGGCCGGAAAGTATGTTCTTTCGAACACTGTCGTAGACGAAGCAAGGCGATCAAGATGTCCTGTTTCGGGTCTTCGTATGCGAGGAATGTCTCCCAACCGCCGTTAGCCGTGTAGTCCCGACGTACCAACTCGACCTGATCGGGCCGGATCTTATGCTTCACTTCGTTGATGCCGACCTCGCGTGTTCGCACATCGCGACATGAGGTACCAAAGTCCTTCATCCTTGCTAGCGCCAACTCTCGCAAGTTACCATTCTCAACACCGGATGTGACAAGCGGCATGGGAATATCGCGCTGCACACGGTAGATTCGCGTCCATGGCGGTACTAGGGCCAAGATGCGGGCAACGATATCGATGAGAGCGTTTGGTGTGTAGTTCTTGTATCTTCCGGTCCGCCAGAGTTCGTAGAGTCCTGTGCCGCGAATGACGAGTGTAGGATAGATCTTGAGCCCATCGGTACGGAAGTCTGGGTTCGAGAAGTACTCTACGAACTGATCGAGATCACGCTCCATCCCGACGTTGGGAAGATCTGGCATCATGTGTGAAACAACCTTGAAACCAGCGTCTTTGGAGAGACAGAAGGTCTTCGCTACGGCGGCGACAGTGTGGCCTCGGTTCGTGTCGCGCGCTACATCTTCGTAAAGGGACTGTACACCGATTTCGAGACGCGTACATCCGTAGCGTAACATGGAGGAAAGATGTTGATCCAAACAGTAATCTGGTCGTGTTTCGATGGTGATACCAACGCACTTTATGTTACTCATCTCACCGGCGGCAACAGCCTCGTCAACGTCTTTGGTTTGATATCCCGAAAGCGCGTTGTGTAGTTGTGAGATGAACTCGTCCCGATATGACTCTGGTAGTGACATGAATGTGCCGCCCATGATGATGTACTCAACTTTGTCGACACTGTGACCGAGCGACTTAATCTGGTCGACTCGTCCACGAGCCTGCTCGTAAGGATCATATCGCGCTCGAATAGCGCGCATAGATGTTGGCTCGTAACCTGTGTAGGACTGTGTTGAGTACTCGAAGTCGGAGTCTGGACCTCCTGGACAGTACACACAGATATTACCAGTGTAGGCAATGTGTGGGCACCGGTGAGGTTTGCACATGACCGCCACTACTGCAATACCAGATGATGTACCTATAAAGTAAATCAGTCTCACTATAATTATGCAATATCATTGAGGGCAACGTACGGATCGGTTTTGCGATGAGCTTCGGGAGGATATATTTCTTGTAGTGCTCAGGCACAGCCGCGATAATCGCCGTGAGCGGAGGCTGGCTCTTAAGGTAGTGCTTCTTCGCGATCTGCCCTCTTAGCGAGTTCAAGTTCAGATCCTTCTTAGGTTTTGAACCGTCGGCCTGGGATTCATAGTCCTGAATGAGCGCTGAGGCGATATCTGCGCACGCACGCATGTAACGTTCATTCTCGGGTGGCAATTTGACATTCTTTGGTAGCCTCCTCTTATGCTGCGTCTCTGTCACTGTCATAGTCGCCATGGTGGGCAGAATTTATTGTTTGGTGTTTGCGGTTTACAGATGGCGAATCTTGAGGACTCAGACTCTGGATGTGGAAGTCACGGGTGGGGGTGGGATTTATTCTGAGCTAGGTCGCTTCTGTACTAGTGTGATCGCTTCAACTTGCCAGACTTCAGCAACGCTGAAGGTCACTCTCCCACGAACTCACTCACCTGCTCCATCGAGGCGCGCCCCAAATCTCGACCTGGTCTCATTAACTCGTTTTCGAATTATTTCATCCGTACCCATGGAGTACGAATGGCTTTGCTAGACCCGTGATTCACAACGTGACATCGGAAGCAATTCAGTCTTGAGCGCTACGAAGTATCGGCCGCCTTGCCAGAGAAACATCACCATGAAGCATTTGACGTCGAGAGGACCACGAATCGATTCATTATGTACGGGAACGCTAAACAAAATCGCTGCAGCAAAACGCGCTATGTTACTTTGAGGGTATCCGGTCGCGCTTCTTGATTTTACTCATTATCATACTCTCATCATCATGCAAAGCTTGATGGCGTCCTGTTGACTCGTTGCCTAGGCTCAGTCTCAAGGACAGCACCTCCAAGAGGTACGTCGGCGCCGTGTTGCAGGGGAGCATAAAGCTCGTCGTTTGTCGTCATAGCAGGGCTGTCCTGTCTGCTCTCTCTTCTCAGAGCGTTGATCTGGGCAGAGTTGCCTGGTACGGCACCGCGACTACCTAGGTAGCTGAACCTCCCAACCTGGCTACCCGTAGTCACAGCAGTCGGACGTTGCGGCGATGGTAAAACCCCTGATTCGGAGCTACCAGATCCGCGTTTGTTGCTGATATCAGAGTTCGAACGGAATTGCGTTCCGTACATGCCAACATGAGGAACGTACTGTGGGTCACGTTGACCTTGGCCATTGGCAACAACTCCGCCATCCGGACCACCGGCATCGGCAACAGCGGCCTTCTCTGTAAGCTCCGTAGCCACCTGGTGAGCGTCGTACTCGTTGATACCGGCGGCAAGCAACAAGTTCTTCTTCTTCTCGATTTTGGCAGCGTGGTCCATATCCTGGCCTGGGTTGGCAGTCTCGTATTCGAGGATCTTGATGAATTTGTAGAATCCGGCCGCGATAATGGATCCGAGTATGGGTCCTAGCCAGTAAATCCAGTGGTAGTGCGTGAACTCAAGGTTGACGACGGCAGGCCCAAACGATCGTGCGGGATTCAGAGATCCGCCTGTGAAGTATACTCCAGATAACTCTGTAACGAACAGAGCGAGACCGATACCTGTTCAATATGTTAGCAACAGCCATGTACCTCAAGCAGGGTTTATTGACGTACCCACGGGTGCGATGAAGGTTCCCTTGTGCTTCTCAGCTGCCAACATAAAGATAGTGAAGACCAACTGAGCAGTAAGGAACATCTCGATGAATAGACCCTGCGTAATAGAAGTACCGCCACCGAGTTTCGTTCGAACGTTCAGATCACCCGGAAACATACACTGGACCAGACCAGCTGCCGCCATACCTCCGAGGATCTGAG